CCCCGCCCCTTCTCATGACTCTTCTGCTTCCCCCACCTCTGGCGTCCTCTCTCCCTCTCTCTTCCTCTTTTGACTCTCCGCGTTGTTCTCTCGTTTGCTGCTTTGCTGCTCCTCGTGGTCTCTTGCTTTGCGCCCCTGTCCTGGTGGGATGGGACGGACGATGACTTCAGGTGAATGGAATTCTCTCCTCCTCTGCCCCTTCTCTCCCGTCTTTCTGCCCGTCCGCCTCCATGCGCCCCCCTCTCTTGTGCCGCGGCGCGGCCCCCCTGTTTCGGTTTAGGCCCCTCTGGAGTCGGCCTGCCCGGCTAGTCTCCCACAGTCCGGCTACTAGTTCAGTCCCACCAGCAGCGCCAGCAAGAAGTAGTAGTTACCCCCTAGTGTCGGTGACTGGACTTGACACCTTCTGCTTCTCCGTTTTGCAGGCACTTCCCGTCCAGGACATCCCAGCCGTGACCATGAGCGCCTACTACCCCACCCAGGTAAGTTTGCTGCGCTGCGCCAGGAAGCAACGGATTAATTCTCGAAAAAGCGCTCGGCGGTTTGTCACTTCCGCTTCGTTCGCGAGGTAGTAGTAGTAGCAGTACCGCGTCTTGCTAACGAACGCTATCTCGTTGTTTGCCCGTCTCTGTCTACTCGGTCCAAGTGCCGACGCCGACACGGCGTCACCGCGCGCGCCGGGTGCTCGCGGCGTCCTCCCCAAAGTTTGCCGTGTGGCCCTTCTGGCGCCGTGCCGGCCTTGGGGGGGGGCCCTCCTCGGGGGAGGCCTGGGGGGCCCTGTGGGGGTCCCCTATCGAGCGACAGGGCTGGCCCTGCACGCGGCCCTGTGCGGCCCTCGGGACCCTCTGCTGCACCACGAACACGAACATGGGCGTTGGCCGGCGCCGCCCTTTTAGCGCCCGCAGTGGCCTTCCCCCAGAAACGAAAACACCGAGGGGGGCAAGAACTCCGGGAATCATGTATACACCTGACGGGGAATCACCAGGATAAAAATTGATCAAAATCAACAAATCCGTTAAACTAAGCGGTAAACTAGTGGAACTGGTACAAATTAGTGAAAATAAGCGTTTTCTAACAGTAGAAAACCTGAGGACTAAAAATAGGCGGATGGGAATCACTGGGAATCAAGAATTTCGGGAATCATGTGTACACATCAAAAGGGAGTTATTGCCCCTTCGGAAAACCTTTTACAGGGTCTACTACGGGCTTCAGGAGGCCAAACATTATCGAACGTTTGGCGTGGGGGTGGCGGCGGAGGTACTACTACTACTACTCCCTGCTACCCAAACAAGACACGCGGGGGAACGGGCCGGGTGGGCGACTTCGAGAGTCCAAATAATTTGGGGAATCTCTATCAAGGCCGTTGAATGGTCACCCCGCGAACGCGCCGGCTGACTCACATACTGGGTCAGAGGCTCGCACTACCGTCGCGACTGTACTACTAACCAAATGGTGTGTGTAGTCCCGCGCCGTCGTCATACTCGCCTGCGAGTCAAATGAGTCACCGTCACCGATGACGTATTGGTGGGGGACATAGTCACGTCATTCATTATAGCGAAGCCACCACCACCACACGCGTGACGGCGTGACTGACGCCACTGTTCTTCCCTCCCTCCTTGCAGTGCACCCCCACCGTGTACCCGGCCGACCCCTTCGACGCCCAGGCCGACGCCGAGACGCTCCGCGCCGCCATGAAGGGCTTCGGCACGGACGAGAAGGCCATCACGGACGTCCTGGGGCGGCGCTCCATCGTCCAGCGCCTGGAGATCGCGGAGGCGTTCAAGACCATGTACGGCAAGGTGAGTTACTACTACTACACCGCGTCGCCGTCGTCGTCGTGCCTGCAGGATGTTGTTGCGGCGGCGCCACCGCCACTGCTGCCGTCCGGTGGGCTAAATGTGATTTGCGATGCCTCGCCAACAACCACTGCTTCTGCGATTTCGTCATTAGATTTTTCGTTGCCGTCGCGCGCTTTGTCGCTCGGCGGCGCTATGGGCGCGACGACGACGACGCCGCCATCCCGCTGCAGCTGCTGCGCGTCGACGGCTGTCGTTGCAGCAGCTGGGGTCGACGAATCTCGTTTTCCACCACCGTGGCGGTGGTGGTGAAAGTTGCCCAGATGCATTAAAACGTCGGTTGGTTTTATGTGGGATCTGCTAATCAAGCCGTTCTTCTGATGGCGCGGCGCGTTGCGCTGGCATGGTATGGCGGGGGCGGGCGTGTGGGCTGCGCGGGCCGGGGCCGGGCGGGCCGGGCTTCACCTGTGCCCCTTTCTAACGGCCCGCCCAGCCCACCTAGGCCCCCGCCGCCGCCTCCTAGACCTCGCCGGGGCCCCGCCCTGCCCCATCGGATTGGTAGATCGGGGACTCTTTCAGCAGCTGGCTTGCTGGCGGGCGCGTCCGAGGGGTCCTTCACTCAAAAAAAATCAGTGTACACCCTTAGAAAAAATCATGAAAATAATCATGAAAAAAATCGCGAAAAAAAATCACAAATTAACGAAGAATCAGAAAAAATCACGAAAAATTACAATCACAAAAAACAAGAGTAAATCACAAATCAAGAAACAGAAATCGGTGTACGCCACAATTTTTAGTGAAGGGCCCCTCGGGGCGCGACCGCCCGGCCTCCCCGCCGCACCGCGGCGTCGGACAAGCGGCCTACCTCCTAGGCGCCGAGCGGGTCCGCGTGTTGGTTGTGCTTCTCTTGACTTGCGTGTGCGGCCCGACGACAGGACTTGATCAAGGAGATTAAGAGCGAGGTTAGCGGCAACTACGAGACGGCGCTGGTGGCCCTGCTCACGCCGCTGCCCAACTACTACGCCAGCGAGCTGCACCACGCCATCTCCGGCCTCGGCACGGACGAGCAGGCGCTCGTCGAGGTGCTCTGCACGCTCAGCAACTACGGCGTCCGGACGGTGGCGCAGGTGTACGAGAACAGTGAGTGTCGCCTATTTTAAAAACGTGTGTGCTCATGTGTGTGTGTGCGTGTGTGCCCGCCCCCTAGGACCTCGTATCGGAGCTCAAGTCTGAGCTCGGCGGCATATTAGAGGACGTAATAGTGGCCCTGCTGACCTCGTTGCCCGAGTTTTACGCCAAGGAGCTGCACCGCGCCATTTCCGGCGTGGGCACCGACGAGCAGGCCCTCGTCGAGGTGCTCGCCACCCTCAGCAACTACGGCATCAAAGCGGTGGCCGCCACTTATCAGAATCGTGAGTCCCGTGTCTCTTTGATCCCCAACCACCATACCAGCATCTTTGCTTACTGATGGTAGCTGCGCTGACGGTGGTGCTCTCTATGGTGGTTTCACTCTAGTCCTAACGAATTCACCCTTTCTTTATGGTGGGAAACGGAAATTTCGGCCTTTCTAATCAAATTAATCTCGCAGTCTTTAACCCTTCCTCATATGCAACATGATGGTCGCATGACGTCAAAAAAGTAACAGCAACTAAATTTTGACGTCATTTGGCCTTTTTTGTCGTTTATGTCTTATTAAACGTTGCTAATCGCGCGAGTTTCGCACCACCTCGGGGCGGGGGAAGGCCCGCGCGGCCGCGCTCCGTGTTTCACGACGACCTGCTGTTTCAGTCGTAGTCTGATCAGATGACCCGGCACATATTTTGCACGGTAGACGTATATAGTTTCTGCTGCGCGTCTGCACCCGCCTCCTAGGAATAGAGGCGTGTATAATATTCGCTGCAAACCTTCGCGCATTGCAAGGGAACGGGGGACACTTTTCCAGTGTTATGCAGTGAATGTCATCACTCTATTATTCCTCTAATATGCCTCTCCAATGCATGGCTACTGTTTCGTGTTCCTTTTGTTTGTTCGCCTCTCCTTTTATCCTGTTATTTATACTTCTACCTTACCTTACCTCTCCACCTTCCCAGCACGTATGTGTGAAAAACATACCCCCCCCCCCCCACTTATTCCCGCATTGCTGCCGTGACTTATTTTGCTGCCCCTTACAAAAACTTGCCGACCCGCCAACTAACACTTTCGCGATGTACTTCCTTCTCCGCAGTGTACGAGAAGTCGCTGGAGAAGGACCTGAAAGGTGACACCTCCGGCAACTTCAAGAGGCTCCTGGTCTCCCTGTGTACCGTAAGTTTCATCCCCCTTTGCGGCCACCAACGTAACACGACCGCAGCAGCGCTGCTGCGAGTGCGAAAAAAAGAAAAGAGAACAAAAATCCAGGTGTCTGCAAAACTTGTTTCACTTCTTGTTGTCAGGCGAACCGTGATGAGAACGCTGAAATCGACCCGGCCGCCGCCCTGGCCGACGCGGAGGCTCTGCTCAACGCCGGTGAGTGTGCCGCCGGCGCCGCCGGTCTCTGGTACTTCCCTGGAGCGCTCCGGGCGGACAGCGGGGACGCAGGACTAGAGATTTTAAAGCCTGATTTTCTTTTTCGGAATCTTAATATTTCCTAGAAATTTATGATATGTTCAAGTATCCCCAGAAAAATTAAAAACAAAACTTAAAAAATTTTCTGAAACTTTTTCGGAAATTTAAAATTCCTAGTACGCAGGACACTGATCGAGCCGTTTTGTTTGTTTTTGTTGCGCCAGGCGAGAACCAGTGGGGCACCGACGAGTCCACGTTCAACATGATCCTGGTCTCGCGCAGCTACGCGCACCTGCGCCAGGTGTTCAAGGAGTACGAGCGGCTGGCCGACCACGACATCGAGAAGGCCATCAAGCGCGAGTTCGCCGGCTCCATGGAGGACGGCTTCCTCTCCATCGTCAAGTGCGTCAAGGACAAGACCGCCTACTTCGCCGAGCGCCTGCACGACGCCATGGCCGGGGCCGGCACCAACGACCGCACCTTGATCCGTATCATCGTCGCCCGCTCCGAGATCGACCTGGGCGACGTCAAGGAGGCCTACATGCGCCTGTACGACAAGGCCCTGGAGGACCGCATCGAGTCCGACTGCTCTGGCGATTACAAGAAGCTCCTCATCACGCTTGTGGCGTAGATGATGATGATTTCCTTTCTCTTTGCACCTCCCATGGGGATGGGTGGATGGATTAGGGGGTTGAAAAGCTTTAAGAATAGAAACTATCGGGGCACTTAATTGGGGATCTGTTTCTGGAGTTTTGCTTCTCGTGGTTTTGCTACCCCGCACTTATCAGATTTGGCTAGTGCATTAAATGTACCTGTATCCAAGAGACTTCATTCCATTTCCTTTTTTGCTATGTGAAAATCTTTGCCCCATACGTACTGGTCTCTGGTCTTATTTATTTAGTGCAGAAAGTTAACTGTTGGGAGGTGTGTCAATTTTAATTTATACAAAATCTGACTTTTATCTTTCATACCGATCAACGTTTTATGTTTAAATAATTTTCAGGACACTAAGGTGGCACAATTTTATGATTGGTTAAGTACTTGTTTGT